ATTATCTTTTTGGGAAAAAGTGACTAAAATATACGCATATATATGAGCATATTATAAAAAATAATGACTGTATTTTTGTTATATCCCGATAAGAATAATGAGTGGTAATTCTTGAGATCCATTTATGGACCAATACTATGAGTATATTTTTACCGTATAATTGTTATGTTTCTAGACTATTTATAGTCATATTGCTCTTATTATAAGCTTTAATTTGACCCATAGACTATTACTATACGATATACCATTCTTGAGTTATCGCCTATCTATTAATTACTATCTCCCTCATTCACAGCCACTTTTGGCCAAATATTGTACAAATGTTATTTTCTAATTTATGGTACGTTGTGGTCGGTTTGATTGTTATATAAACCCATCATGTATGAAATAAATGATTCGTATTACAGAAGCTGAGATTGCTGTTCTGGTCTTAAATGGCTGGGATAGACAGGAAGCAAGATCAATCAAGACCCTAGGCTGCTCGCACGTGTTTCATGCGCCATTGGTTTGATCGATAACTCGCTGCTCTCTGATTGGCGGTATCTTTGCGTTATTCAATATACAGAGCACGCAGGTTCGCAAGATATAACGATTTTTGGCACAATTACACGAAAGGAATCGAAATAAAACGTTGTGAAGCCTCCTACTTTCAGTATTCGTTTAAATGTTCTAGAAACCTTATCGTTCTTCCACGACGTTTTGGGCGCTTTTCGGATATCATCGAAGTTTCTTCATGATTGTTGCTTATTGGGCGATGTATCGTGATTGTGCAATTCGTGTCGTTCGAGTGTATAGGATGAAAATCGACATTAATATGGTCTCACTCTAAATATGTGGCTCTATGGTAGCCAACTCTGACGTTATCGTTAGTTCCGTTTCTATCAATGACATAGTACTCAGGTTCACTTAGGAGGATTCTGAATGGTCCTTCGTATGCCATTTTGAGAGGTCGTCGTAATGAGTCGAGGTGTACGAATACTTGCATACTTTGTCGTAAGTTGGATTAAACAAAAACAACAGTTGACTGCGGTCGAGTGGAAACAGGTTTAACCGAATGCATAACGTTTGTGAGCCTGCCCGTGCAAGTTTAGAACCATATTAATTAAGAATTCACAAACTGTCCCATCACTTGCAGTGTCATTCTGTGAACGAGTTGTACTGCTGTGTATCCAATTGAGCCTTTGCTACACTGAGAATACCAAGTAAAACGGGCGAAAGAGCGTCATTCCACTGTGAAAAGTTTTGCATCTAAGAGTGAAGCTTTTGATTGTCGATGAAACCGTCCTCCCAGCCGTTAGCTTGTGAATGGTAGGCGATCGTTCAAAATCATGTGATTCCTAGGACTGTAGTATGACAACGGAAAAGTTCAAATACAAAGTGGCGTCCATGGTTTGTAGTCATAGTTGAAGGGCAGACGAAGTTTGTTACCTATCGTTCGATGAGGGCACTGGCCATTCTTTCAGCAGTAATGTTCTTAATGAGTACTGCTACTAATCATCGTGTGAACCGCTCTGCACAAGATAAAAGATAGAATAGCGGGATGTAACTAGCCATTGGTATTGATGCTTAACTATAGTGCAGTGATTTAATGACCTAAATTTTTCGACTGATATGATGGATTCGACATTGCGAGTCAACAACAAAACCGTAAAAAGCATTACTGGACAAATATAATCTTTTTTATTGTGAAGTAAATTGCTGGTAGTTGTGAATAACTATAGTATCTAATCATTGAGATCGCCTAAATTAATATGATCTGAATTAAAGTTTAATATTACTTGCGGCGAAATGAGTAGTAGTTTTACAAACCGACTGTATATGTCTAATTTCAACACACTTTAGAAATAACCTCAATACACTAATATCTATAGGGCAGAACATGTTAAATTACGGCTCCTCACGATCAAGTGGGATGTCACGAACCAATGCCGTTGATGCTAATTTATTATGCAAAATACCTCTTCAAATCGTGTCTGTGAAGTTGAATTGGTTTCACTTCCTACCGAGTAATCCCATTACAAGCAAAACTAGACGATTTGCTAAAAAACGAAGCCTTCTCATGACCCTGTAAAATCTACAAAAATAAAAATCAGCTGAAAAAGGAGATAGCCATTTGTGTATCAGAACACTGTTTTCAGCAATACATTTTTAAACTACACATTATCCTATACTTTCAGATTCTTTTGGACAACCTCTTAGAATGCCCTTGCTTAAGAATTAACTTAATAAAAGAGGATAAATCTAAGTAGTCATATCTTTTTTATTCCATCATAATTGACTTCTCTCCAGTAGTCATGAATATTGTCTGCTCAGCTTCCTATCCTTTTTTTATTCTGCTATTAAGCACCCTTAATATGTGCCACTGAAACACATATGGAACGTATGACGATGAACTGTGCAAACATTAATATTTGAGATATTCCAGGAGGATATAAGCTTGCAGTTTGTTGAAGCTCTCAACTTTAAGTGGGTTTACTCCGGACTATCAGTTGCACGTCACAACACAATTTCCATAAAGCGTGTCAACTGTCATGCTGAGAATACGAATCTTACTAATGTTATTTGCATTTATATATAAGAAGTGTTATCCCCAATAATTTTATGATCAGTGTACCTTATAAAATATCACACTAACTGAGTAACCCACCACAGTGAAGATTGTATCTTTCGTAACAATTCGGAATATTGATATTACAAATCAACCGATCACGAATTCTAGTTCCTAAATGGTCACCATAATTGTACCCTAACCCGTTTTATGAAACTTTTCTCTTGCTTTACGTTCATATTTATCACTGATTAATATTTCCTTGAGAGATTCATATAACAATGAAGTTAGATTCTTCAATAGGTTATACGCTTCTTTGACGACTAATATCAGGAAATAAGTTTTGAATTAATCATGTTCGATATCTTTTCTAGTCATGAACCAGATTTTGAATCAATCTAGATGGTCTTCAGTGTCATCCACACTTAATATAACATTCAGCTGTTGAAGATTTGATTCCGTAGGGATGTCAATATGATTATTGGGAGTATTTGAAGTTATGTGCTGACTAAGAATTCCAGAAATAGTTAATACAAATACTGCACATCCTCGGATAGATAAGATTCGTTGCTTATTTAAGTTTAGGCATCTTCAAAGAGGCTGTTCTCATCATTTTTGGAACAAGAAGGAAACTATGGATTCCTGGTTTAGACACAGAAAAGAATCACCGCAAATGACAGAAAACGACCAAGACAAAGCAGAATGCAGGGTCTATTGCTTCGTATCAGTATTCCATCATGAGCCTTCTCTCGATAAAGAACTAGGCTCAGAACCAATACTACTAGCTGTGATTTTCAATAGAGATGACATATTAAAGGCAAAAAACATTTTAGACACGGAAAAATCGACAGGATCGTGTCAATTATGCCCCAAATCTAGAGACAAATCGCACTTTATATTGCTACTTTGCGGACTACGATATTCAAGATGTCTTCTAGCTGAGTTACGTTGCCTACGGGTTAGAAGGATTCAATCATCACTTCAAATCACAAGACAGGGTCGAAACAGCTGGTACCAAATTACGGACTTGTCAGCCTCAACAATATCGTAGTTAAAATACTGAAGACTTATGAAAAATGCCATTATGACATTCGTGGTGACTGACAGCTTGTTAAACGGCAGACAAGATGGTTTTGGAAAGGCTTTTTTTACACATTTAAGTTCCTTTAAGCAAGACGGAGATAGAAGGAGTCATTTAAGAGTGGGGTGCCAGTTGAGGCTGTGTACGTCTACTTCAGAAAAGGATTTGATAATGTTTCGTATGGTAGATACCTTATAAATGTGGAAAACCTAGGAATTTCTATACCTCGTGGTGGGCCAACAGCAGAAGGAAAGTGTGCATTTCAGATGTTCTTCACGGAAGTCAGTGCTTAGTAGAGTACTGCAAGTCTATTTCTTAGGTCCTTTACATTTTATCCTACTTGCAGATAAACTCCCACTACTTATCTTTATATCGCGAATCTTACTTTATGTCGGTGACGTCAAAGTCTGGCCGTAAGTATCAGGTGGTGTGGATGCACCTGCACTCCTGGCCGACCTAGACGTCCCGCTTAGCTGACGCCTATCGACGTGCCCAAGTGCGTCTACATGAATATAGGAGATTAAAGAGTGAATGACTTCAGCATTGGAGAAGTCTCGGTGCCCTTAGACCTATCTTATATTAACTTGGGAGAAGTGGTGAGCCACAACAACCTGCTGCCATGCTATTGTAACCAAGGGGTTTAGAACCATACGAACAGATGTTTACCAAGCCGGGTACAAATATGTCCACCACAGTATACACAGCCATAGTGAGGTTCAAACTTGAAAACTGCGTTTAGGCTGCAAGCCCCTGTTTAAGATGTCTTTAGTATGTTGAAAAAAGTGAACAGAATAGCTACCTATGCAAGTACAGGATTTCTGGGCCTACCATACATAGGGTGGCTTGAGGAGTTAGACTTCCTTACCCCGTCTTTCCGTATGTACGGAGATGGTCTGACTTTGATGTATAGAATTCTTAGAAATGGCTCTGAACTTGGCATATTTACTCTTCCTCCCCTCAAAAAGATCAGAAAGACTCAGAATACACCACAAAAGGATTCAAAATAGAGGAACGAACAAAATATCTGTGGCATACAGGTTTTCGCATTGAGTCATCAACTCTTGGAACCTTCTATTCGGGGAAGTAGTGTTCACAATTTCACTTGACCTATTTAGTAGTACAAGGCTTAGAGAGACCTACTAAACGGGAATAGCACAGACTGTTGGTCTTTTATCCTCAATATGAATCTGAAAAATCAAAGACTCAACTCAAAACTAATCGATCTCCAACCACATTCCCAGTTTGATGGAACGTATTTAGCAAACTAAGTCTATCAACATGCTGAAATTCGCCAAAGGGGTGCTCTTTTATATCATTTATAAATCAAAACGTACTAGGCCAATTCATCACAAGCATTTTTGGATATTGGACAGCGCGTACTAAGACGATGTGCGTATCAACCTAAAAGATGTTCGGACGAGGGAAAAGTAGTCTCTCGAAGCCAAAAAAGGTTCATTCTCTTGAAAATTTGAAGTTAGTTCTAGTTGTTCCGGATTTTTCAATGTCTTTCAATGATGTATTCATTGCTTTAATGTTCATTTATATACGTCTAAGTAATTTCGTGTGAAGTATAATGCGCGGCAAAGTAGTCTCCAATTAGTCACCACAGATCCATTTCCTTGTCGAAGATCCACGTATAACCCATCTCTCTCCTTCAAACAAGAAGGTTAAATAGAAATCGGCGCATACTTCCTATCTTGCTGTTATGTATAGCTTGCATTTGAGCTGCATTCTTACTTAGTCAAGGACTTTCTGAGTATCGTTGGCGTTGTAATTTAGACTCTCAAAGACTTTCAGCGTTGGAGTTGCCTCATTTTGTGACGTTCGTGGAGTCTTTGTCCACAAATGCTATGGGAACTATCGTAAATACTGCATTATGGCGTTTGTGACTTTCTAAACAGCCGAGGGGTGTACTGCTTTTTGTCCCCGATGAGTAAATGCCTTTAGCAAATATAGCCTCTCGAGGCGTCCGAAATTGACTAAATACTTGGCTAAACACAAGTTATGTATAACCATATTATACATTTAAAATTTGTAAGTTTCAGCGGCAGATTATTGATCTTATTGAGGATGTATCCTCGTCGACCAAAGTTAGCACGGTTATCGTTGTCATACAGTTCTAGCAATGTAGCATAATGTAGCTTCGTCGTTCTTCTGTGTAATCTGGGATCAGAGGCTAAGATATTCGTCACAAGTTTTCGTATGGCCCGCTGCATATAGGACAGAATAATTCAGTTTGAATTAACTAGTGAAACCCAGTTAGTTTATCTTCATCTCCTGAATAGGGTCATGGATATTTTTCAGCACAACGGTGGAAGACATCATCGTGAGTGACAAGGAAAAGGAGTCTATCTATGTTACTGTAATATTTTGTTGTATTGCTTCTGAACAGTAATGTATCTTGTTACTGGATGAGATGTATCTTGGTTCCGCTAATTTTTGAACTGTTGTTTTGCAGCTAAACTCGTTTCCTTTGTATTACATGGTTTCTGGGTTGTTTTCACCCTCAATATCTTTATTTCGCTTTAAGCAACTCATATCTTGGTATCTTATTGCACCAATTTTGTTCTGTTATAAATAAATAACATAGAATTGTATTGAATTTATCTTCGAAGTCAGGAGGAAAGCGGAAATCTAAACTTTCCAGTTACAGTGAAAAATCCTACTGTTCTGTTCTGAAATACTACGTGTCAATTATGTTTCCTATGTTAACATAGGACTTCATTAAAAGTGATATTCTTAATCAGTGAGTCTTCTCATTCGGTCGCCTGTTGACCATCCTATTATATTCATGCTTGGAGCTGATATACGAGTTTAGGACAGTTTGGGCTAGATCTCTTCCCGTTTTTGGAAATTAGATGAAGGATGGTCCACTTGTGTTAATTTTTGAGTTTTTGCGAGTTCATCGAGTTTCAGAACAGGTTTCAGGTAGGTGTACAAAGCACGTTTCTGAACTACCTCGGGGTTGATGGATGTATTTCACTGAAGTCTCCCGAACTGCTCGAAAACCGGGTTTACCCATTTCCCAGTAACAAACCAGGAGTTAGATATGTTATACGGGAACTTTCATCTCTGAGGTATTTAAATATCAGAGTTCTCGATATACTTGTTCAGTTCAGTTGTGTAAAGTGGTTTTTAAGGAACTGGGTCCTTTCCAGGCTGATTCATTGCTATCCATTAGGACATGATAATTTAGGCTACCTGGTTTTTGGGTTCATTTGTTCTATGTGTCATATGTTTCATGGTTTTATTAAGAGTTTTGACGCAAGGCTGATCAAGAAAGATCCTACATTTTTACACACTATATGTTCAACCGATATCTCACTTGATTGATCCCATCCCTATCTACTTCGTGCTGGGAAACCGGATGATATCGTTGGCTGTTACAAAAAAAGTTATAACATGATACTTATTAGACGAAGCCATATATAGTAAGTGAGCTCCACTCAAGAAGTTGTAACTTTGTGGTTAAAGGACCCAGTTTTTTGCCATTGATTTGCAAGTTGAAAACCCCACTACTTTATATATATATATATATATATATATATATATATATATATATATATATATATATATATATATATAATTATGATAATCCTTGCAAATAAATCATATTTCTGTAAGCCACTTGTTGACCACATGTTTCTTACGTAAAGTGAAATGTTTGGCTTTGCTACACACAAATCTTGATAGAATTCGTACCCTAGTTGATTACATATTTTTCGCTAGTTTTTTGAATTTTAGTTAACTGTTTCTTCTCAGTAATTTAATCGAAGTTGACCAAGACTTGGAGTTTGATTTATCCTCTATTTTCATAGATATCTTCACTCCGTGTTACAAAAGAATCGAGCTGTCAATGAACAAAACTATGGGATACTAGTTGAAGCTCTTCGATTAATTGCAGAAATTTTAATCTGGGGTGATCAAAATGATAGTTCGGTCATGGAGTAACTTTCTGATTCATTTAAAAAAATATTATTTAGCTTTTTTCTTGAAAAGAACATTCTGGAATACTTTTTGCAGTATATGAAACAAGATTTAAGTCGAAGAATATGTGTTCAGTTACTACAAACTTTAAATATCTTATTTGAAAATATAACAAATCAAACAGCTATCTGTAAGTATTCATTTGCCTTATTTGAAATTTTTTTTCAGATTACCTTCTGTCAAACAACCATACAAATGCTATTATTACGCATCGTTTTGATTTCACCGATGAAGAAGTAGATCCACATAACTATTTGTCAACCCTTTTCTATTTCTCTCTCTTAGGTGATGGCTTATTATATTTCCTTTCTAAAAATATTATCCTTTCGTCTCAACGTAAATACCATCAGCTTTTTCTACATTGAGGTAATGCTGTTTTAAAAATGCATTTAAAAACTGTTCATTATCATCATTATGTTTTAGTCTCGTCGAGAGTTTAATTTATATGTTGAAGCCATTAAATTGTTCGCTCACCCGGAGGGTATGGTTCGTATTGCTGTACGTACTATCACTCTAAATGTACATAAAGGTAGGATTTATCATAATTAGTTGTTTATCGTTTTGTTTTGATTTATCTTTTAACTAATGTGTTCTTTGTTGTTAATAGTTAAAGATGAAGCTGCTTTGGAGTTTATTCATCATCAGACTTCATTAATTTACTTCTCACATCTTGTGTGGTCAATAGGTAATACAATATTAGATATTGATTGTCATAAGTAAGTGATATTTTTTCATCGTATATAATACGTATAACACTTACTGTTCTATATGTTTTTTCCCTTTTCATATATTCGCTAAGTTGATTAAAATAGACCAGTCAGTTGTAAAGACGTCTAGTACGTCGTTCTGCTGTGTATAATATTGAGTTAGTAGGACATGTGAAGAGAAAGGAAAAGAGAGGGAAGCCGAACGACTAGGATATAAGATATCGGGAATGAGTTTTATATAACAAAGTGTAGATTTTCTCAGGTTGTTAGAGTATTAGGAACTTGTGGTTATGGACGCCCAGTATGCAGATGAATTCGTCTTATTTGAGTGAAAATGTTAAATAATCAATTATTGTCTCATATGTACTTTTTAGTTTTTTGTTGCGTCTATATCTAGATGTATTTTACTTTCAACCCGCACTTTTATGCTCTTATGAATCAGTTTGTTAATATTTTAAAGTTACATGATTTCTAGATTATTGCGATATTGAAGATCAATTCAGATTTTTCAGAACTATGTATAGACTTGGATTTTTCAATAGTTATAGTTACAATTTAGTAGTAGTTCTGAAAATTCTATACTTTATCAGGTAGATGATTGGATTAAAATCGTCAATAAAAAGTGAATAATATTTGCAGAACAAAATGATTTTATTATATTTCAAGGCTTCTCACCAGCTGCAAACGGTCTAAATTCACAATCGAAATATTGCCGTATAAATACTAATCAATCTTAATTATTATGTTAAATATATTGTTTCCTCTTGTTTAAGGCGTTGTGAGATAGTAACAACTCACTGGAGACAATGGTGGACGGTGGTGCGATTCCGTGGATTGGTTGGATTTAGACATTAACACCGTTGGATGCCGGCTCAGTGGTCTAGAGGTTAATCGTTCGCGCGCTTGACCGGTAGGTCCTGGGTTGAAATCCCGCGAGCGGAATTGTGGATGTGCGCTTCTGAGTACCATACTAGGACGAAACGGCCTTCCAGTGTTTCCAGGCTTTCATGGTGGTCTAGCTTTAATTGACGCATGAATTCAACTATTAAATTTATAATTATTAACGACAACACTGAAAATTTAAATTTAGTGGCACTTTAATTTCTTGTGGACGCTTAACACTAAATAAACTGTACTACAGTGTTATATCACATTCCGTCCGTTGTTTAATATGATTTAGTTCGTATTGGGGATTAAGGCATGATTTATATATTTACTGTCCAATTTCTAATTCGCTTAAACTGGGATGATCTTTAAGGTTATGAAAAAATAATTTACGTTTGGGATTTAACCCTCACTTTTGTAACTGGAAGCACTATTCATTAGACCAATAAGTTACGTTGATTGCTTTTCATCAAATATGCAGTAGGTTGATATTACTACTCATAACAGCCTGTTGACTGAAGTTGTTGAAAACTTTTGGGATACCTGTTTGTGCACATTCTTCATGTTGTGGCTTAAGATCATTGGTCGATATCACGCGTTAAAACTACTACTCAGAATTTTAACTCCAATTTTTATTTATGCCGCGTCTACTATTTCTTCTACGTTCTGGTTTCATAAACTTGTCCACTTACACATCCGATCAGCGCCGTCAACCTTGGATCGATGCAGAATAAGTCCCGATCGGTCTGATATACTCAAGCCTTCTCTTTCCCTTGCCTCGAGTCCAAAAAGAAGTCAACAGCCAGCTTCTGTTATTATTCCAAAAATACATGGGTTTTTATATAGACATATTGGGCCTCATCCTACCTTTAAAATAAAAAGTCACAGTTATTCATAAATTAACCAAAAGTGGTTGTGAATAGGGCAAGCTACGAATAATCGATTGGCAATAAAATAGGAATTATAAAGAATACAATAATAGATAGTGAGTTAAACGGAAGCTTAAGGTAAACACTATATAAATATATCCCAGTTACCCAGTAACAATACAATAATATCACATTAATCGATGAATTAGTTCAGAGAGTTACCATTCCTCCAATTTTTGTCTGGGTAGGTTCTTCCATGTTACTTATGTTTATGTCTTCGTTATATCATGTTTTCATTTCACAGTAAATACGTTTGTCTTCAAATATTCATTCAATGTTTGGTATGGATTCATTAACAATAGATAATTTTTTTTTGTAATTAATTATTAGGTGTCAAACTAAGTTGAAAGATTTAGTTGCAGAACATATTGATCATTTACACTACATAGATGACTTGTTGTCACTGGGTATAGAAGGTTTAAATGAAGTACTGTGTGACCAGTTACTGAGAAGATTATTTATACCATTACATATCTACTCCTTATTTAAGCAATACAAGTCGGATGCAACAACAAATCTAGGGACAGTAAGTTAGAATAAATACTTTTTTTTGTGTTCCAACTGCTTTCTACATCTGTTTCATATTAACTCATAGCCATCTTTTGTGGCCATATAGGTCATTTTATTTAATCGACCATTGTTTATTTACTAAAATACTTTTGTGGAAACTTTTCAAGTATATTCTAAAGATGATTTACATCACGAACAAGTGGCTTTAGTTGGCAGACTATTGAAAATTAGAGAGTAAAATTGCACAGTTGGATTGCTTAGCTTGAAACTACTAGAAAATGATTGCTCACGAGCCCGTGGGGTATATAGCCCAGGCTCTTCGTGTCTTACAGTAAGCACAAATTCTCTGCGCCGTTGAGTGGTTTCTGTATTAACGTGGTGATCGGGCTTGCTTATCGTAATGATCTGACCGGGCTATACTTAAAAAGAAATTGTTCATATAGGTTCTACCATGTTAAGCAGATCGGTTGGGAGCGGTAAGACTAAAAGTAACAAAATAATAGTCTGAGAGCAAAGTTATGTTGCTGAAGGTACCGAGGTATGACGGCAGTAAGGTGTTCTTCTCAGGCAATCAGCACCTATTGCGAAGTTACTTTACAACGGAAGGAAGGGGTTAGAAAAGGCTGACACTAAAAACATCATATCTCATGTTAAGCCACAGATTTCCGTCTCCGGTGATAAGATCTTTTGAAGCACGGAGTTAACATGTTACAAACTTTTCAAAGAAAGGTCGTGTATAACTGGCCTCAAGCAGTTGTCCTTTGGGTTCCTCGGTTACTCTTCCAGTTCATTAAGACTACCCATAACCTAGTTTCCTTTTCAGGTCCCCCAAATATCCTGGTACGATCAAGAGTCAGCTCTCCCTTTCGAAATACTCTTACATGATCACGCGTATACAGCAACTGCCAGGGAAGTTTTACTCACTGCCTTCTCGCGACGATGTTTTTTTTTCAAAATCGAGAGGACGAAAAGCGAATATCTGACTCTTTAACCAGATTGGTGGATATGGAAGATCCACTTAGGGGAGTTAGAAAATTCTGATCCTAAACCACTAGTGTACATGGACCCCAGGGCGTATGGACCTATTGGTCATTGGCTACATTGGGGCTGCATCTCCTTACGTTGCTCCATTGCTTTGTGGATTAGTGCTCTAGGTCAAAGGCTTGGGGAGTGGCTCACTAAGAAAACCTTCTGCTTCGGTTTAGGCATCTGGGCAGTATCCCAGCCCTCACACAAATTAAATGGTTTACGTGGCCCTGAGTTTTTGTACCATTGTTTATGTGCTTAAATAAATAAATAAATCAGGTCCTTCAAGAAGAAATATCCTTTTCTTGTTTGGGTAACCTGGAAGTGACAACTGCCCTCGTATCCCTAACAGCACTAGAGGTCCTCTTGTTCACGATCAAATCCCTTCGTCACTTCTTGATATTCCTATCCCCACCACTAACCTTCCTCCCGTGACTTTATCTCCATGTGCCACTGATGCTAACTATTCGAGTCTACGAAACTTATTCCTGATCTCTTGAAATTGCCTTCCAAACTACATGTTAGAGCTCTCACCATTTAGGCCTTATGTTAAATAGGTCGACAGGCTTTTATTATATCTTGTGATTGCTGATCAAAATCACGTGACAATTTGCCAATCAGAATCCTGATTCTAATTCGCATCTAATATTACTCGGTAGCTTGGTATCTCCTCTGACAGTCAATTCCACGTCGGGCAAGTACTATTAACCTTGATTCAGCAGCTAAGTTCCTATTGGTCCACCGTTTTATAGCTTCTCTTTGTGCCATTTCTTTGAGTCTAAAAGTTAGCAACCAGTCTCCACTGTACCCATGTTCTAAACAAACGCAGTTTATATACAAACAGACCAGACCGCATCACACTATAAAATGAAAAATAGCATTTATGCATAGACAGACCAAAAAGTGTCTGTGAATGGGGGAGATTGAGTAATCGCCTGGCTAGTATGGAAGAGCAAAAGGTTTCCTGTAAAACTCAACCTTCACTTTATTCGAATTGCAGTCAATTTGAGCACAAACAGGGACGACGAAAAGGCCACAGCCTATGAATTCTGGATGGTGTTGACGAATTTTAAGGTACTCCATAGTGTCGAAGAAAGTTCTACAAGGTTTTTCTATCCACGCTATCAAAAATCTCAGAATCATGGAAGTTGATGTATAGTGACGAGTACCATTCAATTGATTGCTCAACGATGATCCGTACCTTTGCAATTTGGTATATGCACGGCTTATCCTTACGAAATCCAATCTGTTGATCTCGAAGTTGGGCATCTATTACGTCCTTCATCCGGTTCAGCAACACTGTTGAAAACGTTTCCTGGTACTGACAGTAGTATGATGATTCTGTAGTTCTCACATTTGCTCAAATCTCCTTTCTTTGGTATCTTGATGAGGTGTCCTTCCTTCCAGTACGTCGGCACTCGTTCCTCCTCCCAAATCCTCTTGAATAGAACGTGAAGCATACCTGTAGTTACTTCTATGTCTGGCTTCAGAGCTTCAGCTGGTATATTGTCAGGTCCTACTGCTTTCCCGTTCTTGATTTGTCTGATGATCATCCTGATTTCTTCGATCGTTGTTGGAGTGACATCTATGGTGAGGTCTGTGTGTGCTTCTTCGATGTCCGATAGATTCAGTGGAGTTGGTCTATTCAAGAGTCCCTCGAATTATCCTACCCATCTGTTACTCTGTTCTTGAATCTCGGTGATTGGCTTGCCTTCTTTGTTCTTGACCGGTCTCTCTGGTTTACTATATATCCCCGTTGGTTTCCCTGTTGTATAACATAGTTGTCTCATATTTCCTTCATTTGGCGAGTTTTCCGCGTTCATTGCTAAGTCTCCCACATATTTCTACTTGTCAGCTCTAATGCTTTTCTTCACTCTCTTGATTACTTCTGTGTATTCAGCCTGTGCCCTGACTTTCTCTGCTCTTGTTCGGCTGTTGTTAATTGCTACCTTCTTGTTGTTTCATTCCTGAACCTTGTCTAGGGTTTCGATGGAGATCCATTCCTTATGATGATGCTTGTTGCTGCCAAGAACCTCTTGACTTGTTGAATTCGGTGATTCTTCGATCCTTTTGTAGTTGTGGTTCATAGTAGTTTCTTCTTTCAGTAGATCCTGTAAGGTTTGGAACCTGTTGTTGAGAGTTATCTTGAATTCGTTGATTTTGATAGTATCTTGAAGGAAGGCTACATTGAACCTATGTAATGTTGTTTCCCCGTTGTCCACTGTTTTTTAGTTTCACTTCCATCTTGAAACTATGTCAGCTGCTCTCCTGATTCTCATGTCTTCCATTGATCTGAATTTGTCGGTGATGTAAATCTGATCGATCTGGTTCTCCGTGGTGTGGTCCGGTGAGACCCATGTAGCTTTATGTGTGCGTTTGTGTGGGAATATTGTGCCACATATAACCAAATTGTTGAATACACACAAATTCGCAAATCTGTCTCCGTTCTCGTTCCTTTCTTCTAGTCAGTCCATGTTGTCCCATGATATTTTCAGACCCAGTAATGTGCATTCCGAATTTGGCGTTTAGGTCTTCCATCAGGATGGTTAGGTCTTTACCTAAGCACTTCGCTATGATTGATTGCAGCCTCCTTTAAAACTGATCTTTATTGTCGTCATTGATATCATTGGTGGGTGCATGACACTGCTTGACATTCATTGTAAGTCCCTCCTTCTTTGTTTTTAAGGATGCTTCGATGATTTCGAGTCCATGCGATTCCCATCCTGCAAGTGCATTACGTGCTTCTTTGAACAGTATCAGAGAAACTCCCTGAGTGTATGCAGCATTTTTCCCTTCGTGACTGGAGTACAGCAACATTTCTCCTGTATCTAGCGTTTACTGTCCAGCTTGGGTCCAATGGGTTTCGCTTATTCCGAGTACTGCTGAGTTGTATCTCCTTATTTTCGTAACTATTTGATTGGTCCTCCCGGTCTCCTACATTTTCAGGATGTTCCATGTCCCTACAAAAATTGTTACTCTTGCTGTTAGAATGGGCATCAGTCTTGTGACTTCCTAAGAATTTTGTTTTTCTGCATGAGGCGTCATAAATCTTCCTTCAACTCTCAGGGTAGAGCTTAAATGTTTTATTTGTTTAATCTGGTTGGCGTTTTTAAGCAAACTTGTTTTGTACGGGATGTAGTTGCAGACCCCATGCTTAAACCTTCTCCTTTACCCGGGCTTGGGATCGGCAGTAACTCTAGAAGAGATACAGGTGGAGTTGAAAACAGAGTGGATACACCCAAACCATTGCGAACGATTCTGAACCATGTTATTCGAAGTCTCTAACCATTGGTCACGACAATAACTCGCGACCCGATTCGGTAATCTGAGAATGCCTACATGGGTTACTCCGACAGTTAGTGTTTTCATGGACTTTTGCTATGTATTGGTTTGGCTACAACTAGCTTTCTTTCAACTTACTCCCCTACAACAGCCATTATCACTCATCGAACAATTCGATGAATGTGAATACGCAATACATATTCTAACCATCTCATTCGATAAAGATTGACTACCTCATCCATCGGTTGGCCATACCTACCTAGTACTCTGCATCTAACCTTAGAATTCCCTACTTGATGATCCCAACATGAATGAACAGTGCTTTGAAGACATCAGTGATAAAAACTAGTAACCTGCGAATATCCTCTGTTTAAAATGACCACTTTTCACAGCCACGAACGAGAATGGATCTAACTGCTGCACAGTAAACTCATCCTTTGGTTCCCAGGAGGAGATCTTTCCAACGCCGCAAGTAACGCAAGTCGGCAAAAACTGATTGAGCTTTCTGAATTCTTGCTGAGATGTCGTCAAACACCAGCCCATCAGGACTGAAGAGGCTTCCAAGATAAATGAACCGATCGACGTACCCAATTAATTCACTCCCTATAACTAGTTCAGGCGTTGATATAAGCCAGTTTTGAAGAAACGTTTTGCATTTAGGGAGTGAGAATCTCATCCCAGAAATGTCAACATTGTTGCTTACGGCGACCAGAATAAATTACACTTTGTCAGCGTCTTCATCAAACAGAACTATATAACCTGAGTATTTTAAACCAACAAGAGAATTTCCTGGCAGAAGATCGATTCCTGACAAGTCAGACGATGAATGTCATATCTAGAAGGATATCTAACACAAATTTAAATAAAAATAGGGAAAAAAGATAACTCTGACGAGCACCGCTTGAAGTTTTCAATTTCAATGACAGGTCACCATAAATTCTGACTCGACCAGAAGTGTTCGAGTAGACAGCCCATACAGGGTTAGGTTAACGGTTTGATGCTCTGTTTATTAAACTCTTTAGTTTGGATCCATTTTGGAGCAAAAGTTGACAGGTAAAACCTAACTAATGTGCACACCAGATGGCTAAGGTCTTGATTAAGGAGATAAAACTGTTCATATTGATCTTACCAATATGCTACTTGGATAGACCACATTAAAAAGCACGACTCAGTGCTTGTGAGAAAACATTAGTGTTTGCAAAATATTGTTTGAGAAGAAAATATTCTAATCAGCTTATGGTTTTGTAACCTCAGTCTATGAGTTTATTTAGGTATCATATGAGAATATGTAGCATCTTATTGTTAGTGAGAATTTTAGTGATTGATTATTTGTGTGGTATTTAAGCATTTCAAAGAATATGAAGCTGTTTTTTAGAACTATTTGTGTTTATGCGCATTATATAAGATTAATAACAACTATGCACATTATTTACTACGTGCATTTTCTTCATGTACTAGAGTTTTAGGCAGATCTTATAGATGCAAGTTGATGATGGTATCTGGCTGTCCAAACTCTAAATCAAAAGAATGGCATCTAGAGCCAAGATTGAATAATTAAAAATCAAGTGAATTGAATCATTATCTTTACAGTAATTAACAGTTAGTGTCATAATATTGATACTGTAGTAATGATAAGTTAGTCATTGATAATTATGTTTTATAATGTTTCCAACAGTATAATAATAACGGGACAGGCTTTATATATGTGTAAAAAGTATTACAATCTAACCAATTTTTCGTTTCTTTTTAATAACAATGAAACGGTACTAATTTTTTGATTTTATTTTGAAAGGTTCGTAGACCTCGTCTATCCTATTCAGTGACAGTGTTTACACTAATTCATGTGTACTTATTTCTACGTGATACTCGACTAATCTGTTTACTTACGGAAGCTATTTTAATTGGCGATCTCACATTGCCTGGTTTAATAATACCTTGTAATATACCATGTTCCAATTCACAAATTGTTTTCAATGACCCCACAACTCAGGATTGTTCCGTAAGTTTTCAAAGAAATTTAAATTACGAAGAGACTGATGATACTGCATCTGATGATGATCCAGCAATGATCATTGCTAAAACGTTAATTGCTGCCACTGTGTCTTTACGAGCTTCTGACCAAGCATCACCTGGGCAAAGATTAACTACCTACTTAATACATTCAGTAACATCCAAAAATCCATTGATATTTTCTCAACCTAGTGAATCATTAGAACATGGATTAACTCAAGCAAAAGGTGTAACACCGACATTGATGTCTGTTCTATGGCCACCCAATGTGGCTCCACTAAAACTAGTGGAGAAGAATACAGAAACTTACGTGAGTTTAAAATAGACAGGGTTTTAACTGTTATTATTATTACTTTGGAAATTATAGTCAACCTCTAATCATACAGATTTCTGATTTGTTTAGAATTTCTATTGTAATGCATGAAAATGGTATGTTAGTTATAAGAACGTTGTTTTAACTAACTGGAGTGTATAATCATTATATATTTTCTGCGACATATGTTTCTATTCTTGACTGTTTATCCATTAATTATTTTACAAATAACTCGTAGTTAGACTATATTTACGTCGATTATTTTGCGTATACAATGGTAGTTTTGTTCCCTTAAGGTATGTCATGTTTTTTTATAAAAGTTCTAGAGGATTATTGGTTTTGTGAACAAATCTTAACAGCTTGGCTAACACAGTCGCAAATAAATTGGGCCGTCAAAACGGAAACGATGTTTTTTATATAGACAGTGAAAATCAACGGTTTGGCAAGTGGTCATTCATGGAATAGTTTGGTTTAAATATATGGATTCAATAGGGTTTAGCTCTATCTAATTATATGAAACTTGTTTACTAAATACAAGCATAGATACCTCCCTATGAGCTACATGTTTTACGTATGAAGACTTACTTCGTGGAAGTTCGTTCTATTCTACTTTACGATTGCGAAATGTGGCCATTAAGGGTAGAAGATACTCGTAAGTCACCAGTATTTGATCACACATTTTTTCTGGAAATATTACCAACATCTGCTGGGATCACCGGAGAAGTAATAGGGAGGTTAGACGCAGGATATTAGCGAATGATAGTTGGGCCACGTGTTAAGTATGTCTGAACACCGATTAACACAGCGCTAAATATAATCGGTTGTCCCCCCTGTGCTTTCCTTCATTACAATACTACTCGGCTGTTCGAACTGAAATGAGTGGAGTGTGATCCCAATGTTTAATCTAAGGCTTGATGGTCGACTGCTTTATCCTGGAGGGTGGTGACAAGTGAAAATTTTCTATTTCTTCACATAACTCATGAAACATTAGGGCATTTTTCATTTATTTTTCTTTGGTAACATCATGATCTGTACTAATGACTGTCTAAATTTAATGAATTTTTACATTAAAGAAACATATATCTTAGTCACATGTAATTTCTTGTGAAGATCAGGCTGAGAAATAACAACTGTCACATCATTTCGAATATCTTTACCGAATTAGAATATGAAATTATGGAAGTTTTAATCATTGGAGGTCATATTAACTGATAGCAAAGATGCGTGAAAAGCTAACTTCTATTTAAGATACAAGTAGTTCTGACGGTTTCTTCGTCTCGAGTATCGTGAAAATCTGATTGACGCGACTTTAAAAAATGGTAGGATTTCCTTCATATTTGCCGTAGAAATAAGGTCAGTCAGCCGTAAACAACACAATCTGGCACAGATATGGATTGCTGTAAGCTGTCACATTACATTAGCACAACAAAAATACTAACGAGCTAAAAAAGACAATGATTGGGAATAATAATAGTACCAATGATAATAGAAAACTAAACATATAGGAATATATTTCAAGAAGAATAAGTAAAACTGCTGAGTAATGAGTATGGAATGATAATACTGAACTCAAGATATAACCGATAACATGCGTGCATTTATTGTCTATGTTGCTGGTTTCAAACCATTTTAAAATAGCAAGTTAATGAGTTTGTAAGTATCATTACCAAGGTTTGAATTCCAAATAAACCGAGCAGTTATATATTAGTAATATCTCAATGAGTAGAAAAACAACTTCTACTAATTGGGATATTACAAATATATTATTTTTATTTATAGCAAGTTAATGAGTAAAGGACCATTGGTTTACTGAATTAGGAGAGGCTAGCGATAGTTTCGTACTTATTCTATATACCCTGTGTGCCCTCCGTCCACCGTATTCGTACAATTGGGGCGAAATTAATGTTTTTCCTTGAAATATTATGAAATGTGCTGAAATTTAGACTATAAAAATATAATAAAAGAAGTTCTAAAAATAGTTGAAATATGTAAACAATGTCTACATGTTTGTGCGCAATTATAATGTGTTTAGAAATTGTTATACTATATGACTGACTGTGTTTATTTCAAAAATACTTAAATCGTATTACATTATACATGCACTAAGTTACAGTTACTAAATAATTCCATTTTCTTATGGTTTACATTAAGGATTGATCTGAGACAGCTATTGGGAACCATGAAGCACTGAGTAGCCGTTTCGTCTTAGTACAGGACTCCTCAGCCGTACTCATTCAGAACTTCACTCGATGATCGGAACCATGACTTTCAGTTTTGGGGTGAAGGCATATCCTCTAACCAACTGGACCATCATCTTAGTGTGTACATGTCCAACTTCATACAGTTCGTGATATTGTGCGTCCATTTTTCATTATATACGGTGATTAACTGTCTCTTAATCAATGTGAATGAACTCTATTACTCACAGCTTCTCATTGAGACTCTTGAAATTAGTCGCTAATGAGCACATGATCATTATTAGTATAGAGGGTTTGTGTAGATTGTTGGGTTTTCGCACAATATCGCTAGCCGATTAAGACTAGACGTATACACTAATGGTTGTCGGCTCAGTGGTCTAGAGCTGCGGACGAGTACGGCTGAAGAGTCCTACACTAAGACGAAACGGTTACTCAGTGCTTCTTGGTTTTCAATGGTTGTCTAAGATCAGTTCGCAATGTAAACCGTGAAAATTCAACAGTCTCTTTAAACCTCCTATACTAATTTCATATTCGTTTCATATTTATTAGGCATATGTACTTTTTATCACATTCAGTGAATCAGCTACAACGTAGAACCAGGCACATAAATGCGTCGGTACAAGTTGCCACACCTCATCAGCACGGCAAGATGATCACCAAATTCATAGTAGTGGTTACTTCAATGGTAGTAATATATATAAAATAAGGATTGAATATAAGAAAAAAGAATTAGTTCGTAGAATGAAAGGCATAAGGTAATTTTAATCTCACGGTTTAAGGGAAGATAAAGAGTGTATACACCTACGCCATTGTGACCGATTCTGAGCCATGTCAACCAAAGTCTCCTACCATTGGTTACCATAGTCACGCGGACCCCAACCAAGTAGCCTGCATCTGCTAACATGGCTCAGACCAGAAGTTAGTGACCTCAAGCACTGATGCCACGTTTTGGTTTGGCCGCCCCTAACTTTCTCCCAACCGTCTCCAACATTAGTTAGCATTGCGCTCTGTGTTAATCGGTGTTCAGACATACTTAACACGTGGCCCAACCATCTCAGTCGATGTTGATTCACAACCCTATCAACTAGTTTACCATCATTCACTAATATCCTGCGTCTAACCTCACTATTACTTATCCGGTGATCCCAGCAGATGTTGGCAATATTTGCAGAAAAATATGTGATCAAATACTGGTGACTTACGAGTATCTTCTACTCTTAATGGCCGCGTTTCGCAGCCGTAAAGGAGAACAGAACGAACTGCTGCGCAGTATACTCGTCCTTTTATTGATAGACGGATATCTCGCCTTCACCATAGATGACATATATTGGCAAGAGCCAAACGAGCTTTTGGAATCCGTGCTGAGATTTCGTTAGACACCTACCCATTAGGGCTGGTCAGACTTCCAAGATAAGTGAAGTTGTCGCTGAGTTCGACTACTTCACTCTTTATTCTTAGTTTAGGTGTTGACGCAGGTCAGTCAGTCCTGAATCAACAATTTGAATTTATAGGGGGAGAAACGGATCCCAAACATCACGACATTTTTGTTCAGTGCTACCAAAAAACTCTACATTTTATCAGCGTTTTTACCAAACAGGACTATGTCATCTGCATATTTTAACTTGTTAAGTGGACCTCCTGTAAGGAGATCGTTTCCTGAAAATTCAATCGACGAGAACGTTATTTACAGTAGTAAGTCTATCATAAAATTGAACAGAAATGGACATATTGGACAGCCTTGTGGGACACAACTTAATGTTGCAAAATCAGATGACAGTTCAACATGAGCTCTGACTAGACTAGTAGTGTTCGAAAAAGGAATCTTCACAAAGTTTATGTACTCCTGAGGTAATTCAATGACAGACACTGCCACGGAACCTCTCTATCTACAGAGTCAAATTCTTTTTTTAAGTTAAGGAAAGCCATCATTGTCGGATGCTGATAAACATGCTTCTGTTCTAAGGTCTGACGAATGGTGAATATGTGGTCGATGCAGCCATGACCAGGTCTGAAGTCAGCCTGATTTTCTCGTGTTTGCTGCTCACGAGTTTTTGTTAGGCGTCTGATAATCATTGAGGCTAGTATTTTAGACTCTGTATTAGTCAAAATAATCCCTCCGTGGTTATCACAGGATCATTTTGACCCTTTTGTGCATATTGGGACAATCAGTGACACATGGTTGCGTAACCATTCTTCCATTTCCTGAAGTAGATACCTGTCTCTACCCGGCACGGAATGAACTCCACTAATCACAGCTTTAATGGTCTAGTTTACATCAGCTCATTAATTCAACTATTAAAATTACTACAATTTCCACAAACCCCATTCTGATCATATTCTTATTTAATCATGACTTAGAACTCATACAGTCAAATACCTGAAATACTTGAGAACATAGCAGCATAGTTAGGAGATAACAGCATGTACGTAACTTAGTTATAAGTGATACAAAACCGGAGTAATAGGCGAATGATGGTGAATCTAGAACAATACGACTTATGACAACAATATATGGGTCAAATGAAAGTTCAGAAATGAGCAAATATAGGGACACAAAAATTTAAGGGTCTACTAAATGCGCAGTAAAAATATAACAATACTCCCATTAGTTAAACTTACATACTACTCGCGCTATTATATCAGGTAGTGATATGTTTAACTTTATATCACTTTCTGAAGGCTAAATAGCATTTATTTCTTAGTTTGCATGCATTTCTAAAAATCTGGAATGTATCAGGACTGTCATTTGTGAATACGATGATTTTTTGGTATAATAAGGATTCACTCGTGAATAAATTTATAAGTAGTATAGCAGTACAATACAGGAATCAATTAATTGTTAACTATTTTTGTTGTGACCCACAGTTTTCGATAGTTGATACTGTTATTCAGTCTTCCTGTGAATATGAACCCAACCGGCTACTCGAGTGAAGACGGCTGACAGTAAGAAAGGAAGTTTACTGACTAACCGAATAGGCTTGTACGTATATGCATACATACATATATCCTTCAGAAAATAAAGCCACCAGTGGTGTGTTTTATCATTCCTACGAAATGTAAACCACTTCTGGTCCAATCGCGTGCATTTATCATTTGGCTGATTTCTGATTGGACTAATGTATAAATTTTCCATCTTATTTCAATATAGAACTTCTTATGATGTTATTTATAGTGTTTTTCTGAAACATTGGTTTAGTGGTTAGAGAATTCACGTATCAGCCTCTGCGTGATGGATTCGAACCCAGCTGGCTACATCTACTTAATTTTTAGTGTCTGGGCAATACCATTAGCCTTTACTTGCTAATGTTATAACAGAACGAGTATTGGAGAGGTTCTTACTGTTTGGACTATCTTCCTCTATATTGTTGTTGATTTTTACATTGTGTAACTACTGAGTAACCGGACTATGTTTTTGTATTCCGTTTGTTGTAAGCCCGTCAAAGTAACGAACCAGCTCGATTTACACTTCGTGTATCTGGAAGCCCTGATGCTACTTCCCGTGACCTCGTCGGCGTAGGTATAGCATTGAGTCCTAGGGCAGAACTAGCTCTCTTAGACTGGATCTCAGTGGACAGTCGTTTGTGCGCTGTCCGACTAAACGGAACAATAAGGACCTGAAAAGATAGGGACACTCTTCGTTGCCTCTTCGTCGTCTCTGCCGATTCTCCCACTGACTGCAGCTCAGACGATGTAAAAGATGAGTTTTACAGAAAGCTTCCCGACCTTGTCCGAAAAGGTAGGCGCTCTGATGTAGTAATAGTGGTTGGTGACTTTAATGCTCAAGCAGGTAAACTAAGCGAAAAGAAAAGACACCTGGGTGGCTCTAATGGTGTTGTAGCTCAAAGAACAGATAATGGCGACCGTATGTTGCAACTATGCTCAGATAACCGCTTGTGTTTTGCAAACACTAACTTTAAGCATAAGCACAAACAAAAAATTCGTCCCAACGTTGGACCCAAATAGATCACATCGCTATCATCCACGGATGGAGGGGCTCGATAGAAGACTGTCGCTCATTCTGGAGCACATGCATAGACTCGGATCATGCTCTAGTGCGGGCGCGCATTTGTCTACGTCTTACTGGACGTAAGAAAGATGATGCAAGGAAACCTCTTAGGATCCTGCTTAATGATAACCAAGCTAAGAATACGTTTCAGGAACAACTAGAAAATGTTAGGCAGCCATGTAAGTGATGCCTACCCCGAGGCAGCGTGGAATGATATCCGGAAAGCTGTGGAAACAACAGTGATGTCTACTAGTACGGTAAACCGTAAGGTTAGGGAGAAACACTGGATCTTAGCAGCATCTACCACACTGATAGATGCTCGAAAACCCATCCCATCTGGCTTTGAACATGATGGAGAGCGGAGTCAGCCTAAGTTCAAGCTGACAAGAAGCCTACGCAATGATCGTGGACAGTGGTGGGTAGCGAAAGCAAGAGAGATGGAAAAGGCAGCGGCAATAGGTGACATCAGAAAACTGTTCAGACTTGTTAAGGAAACCGGTATTAGGAACCCGACTGTTAGCGAAACACTCAGAGAAAGATGGACATATTATACATTCTCAATCCAGGAGATTGGGTCGATGGTCAGAACACTTTAGTGATCAATTCAACTGGCCTTCAGCCACACTTCGGTTTCCTACGATCTCCAGTCAACCTGAATGGCAAGTTAATGTAGGTCCTCCAACTCTTTACGAAGTTGAAAAAGCTATAGGAAATCCGAAGCGTGGGAGAGCAGGAGACCCTGACAGGTTTACCCCTGAGAAACATTTCTCGTTTATCCTGAGACTACTGAGTAAGTAACGCAGTTGTTAGGAAACAGGTACTAGGTAAGGATGGCAAATCAATTGATGACGTAGTGAAACTTCATCAGTTGAGATGGCTGGGACACATGCTACGTATGCCCAACCACCGACTGCCTCGACGTGAGATGTTGGGTTGGAAGAAAGCTAAGGGCGGCCAGACCAAAACATGGCACAGATCCATGAAGTCACTGACAAGTGGACTGACCATGTCGGTAGGTGTAGACTACCTGGTTGGGATCCGCAAGACGATAGCAATCGTTGGCTAGATACCTTGAATGACATGGCTCAAAATCGTTTGCAATGGCGCAGGTGCATCCACTCTTTGTGTTCTCCCAAATTCTAATCTGGATTTTTCATGTCCTTTATTTTCTTTCCAAATTTATTTCACTGGATTATACTCCTTCAATAACATCTTCAAACCCTAATGTTCCCGATTACTGTTTATACTTTTACTACCTCTACCACTACGAAATTTGAATCTAAAATTGAATCTGTGTGCTAATGCGTCATGGAAACTTGAAACAATGTACGTGCGTACGTACGAAGTTCCACGCTGTTACTGACTGACTGAATTCTTGTAAGCCTCCGTTTGACCCATTAAATATTACTGTACGTCTTATTGTTCCTATATTATCGCTAATCAATTATTTACAATTTTCCCAGTTGACAGCCACTTTTGACATGTTTGTAATAACGATGATTTTCTATTTTATGTTGTTGATTTGATCCTGCTTGTCGGGCATATAAGCTAATGAAGGCTTGAGATAGCTGCTGGAGAGGCTTTTTTGAATATAGTATAGAGGTTTGGCTACGGCTTTCTTCTCAGACTTAAGGTTGAAAATTAAAGTCACTGCGTATAGGCCGACCAATAAGCTTACGATGGCTTAAGGTTGATTGTGTCGATCGGAATGTATAATTAGTCAAGATTAAGGGCGCTAGATTATAAACGGAGTAACAGAAGTGAATCAAAGAAAATGTAATCTTAATTCTGATTGAAGAACTTAGCAAGTGATATCAATCAATCGCTCAGACACAACACTTGGTAAGTTTATTTTGTCTTTACTTATCTCATAATAAAAAAATTCTTCTACATATTTTTACCTTCATGAATAAACAGGTTCAGTCATCCATTTCTTCAAATCTATGTGAAAAACGCTCATCTGATCTGTCACCAGGCGATTTACAAATACAATCACCTAACAGCTGTAAAGATTCGTGTATGGGTTTGTTTTTCTAAATGTTATAATTATAATAATTATTATTATTATCGTCACATCATCATCGACATAGTTTTGTTTAATTATCAGTAAATTGATGTACTGTGAAACATTTTCCGTCTTGATTATTGGTCTGCTTATGAAAAGAAATTGATCATTTATTTTCAATGAATTCAAGTGGTGTGTAGTTTTTTATATATTAGTTTCCATTATCTCAATAAATTAAATATCAGTTAACTTGACGTTCGGATTATTAGTTATTTTCATTGGCTAAGTTATGGTAAGAAAGGATAATCGACATTTTCTTTTACGCTAACATTGACTGTGATGTTCTTACGATATCCACTAATATGTTATAGGTTCAGTATATAATTGTACTTTTCGCTGGTAATGCTTTACTGTCATAAAGGGTTGTTAAAGTTAGATGGTGACTTTAGAAGATAATATACATGTGAATGAGCATCCGTTTAGCGTAATGTAAGCTACCAAGCTAGATTAACCGTACAGTTGATTATATTGTATGCACTATTAATCATATTGATGTAACACTGTTAATCACAGCGTTAATTTCAATCAGTCGGTAATATGTAGCCGTACATAGAACCCGGCACATATGTTCATCGGTTGAAGTTGCCATATCACTTCAACACAGTGAGCTATCAGTGTAATGTAGGTAGTAACAGTATTAGTGGTAGCAGGAAATATTAGTTATAGAAGATAGGGTTCAAGAAAGAGATACGAATTCATCAAATGAAAACCATTGTATGAATGAATACACTTGAACCATTGTGGATGATCCTGAGTTATCAGTCAAAGTTTCTAACTATTGGTCACCACTATAACTTCACTGACCTCAATCAGGTAGTCTGAAACTATCTACAGGGCTCAGTCCAAAAGTCGGTGCCTTCGTGGACTAATTCCACTTTTTGATTTAACCGCTTTAGCTTTCTTCCTACTTACCCCCTCTACAAAAACCGTCACGTGTCGAGGTGGAAATGGAATTAGTTCATGTCACAATAATTGATGATCAAAAATTAATAGAACAACGAATCAGTGAGTTAATCTCATACCAAATGTCAGTTTTCGTGGTTAGTTGTTGATACCATTGTACAGAATTAGAGTAGTTTAAACTATTTGGAGTTTCAACAATATGGTAATTCAATATGGCTTACATGCTGGCAAATACCCTGTTTATTCTTTAGCGTTACTTTGTTAGTAACCTAATGACAGTGTGCTAGCTCTAATCCGAATACATATGAGGTTGTGTAATTTCGATTAGGTAATGTATAAATCTTCCGTAAATGTGTAACATAAGTGGAGTGACTAACAACAAACATATAGGCTTCATGCTCAAGAGAAAACAGTAACAAACTGTACTCGATGAATTCTATCAACTAGACGCATGCATGTTAACATATATTCTTGGTTATCAGATTAATTATTTCGCATAAATTCCGATTGTGTTTCTGAAAAGTAAAATCTTCGAACATTTTCGTTCTGTTTTGTAATGGGGTTTATGACTTTAATTGTATATTTACTAAATAGAAAGTCTCATTAATGTAATACCCAAATATTATTTCAACAGTAAAGGGCACATATCACACTAATAAATCATCCTTTTAATGTGACTAAGTGATAACCAAAGTCAGATGATTTATCACAGGATATGAAAGCTGTCTTGCACTCACATCTCTAGATTACAATCAACTTTAAAAAAACGAATTCTTATGACTTTTGGGTGTTTTGTTGCTCACGGAGTTAAATACTAATGAAAATCAATTGAATACGCGTTGGGATACAGAAAACATACTTACTTACTTACTTACGCCTGTTACTCTTCGTGAAGGAGCATAGGCCGCTCACCAGCATTCTCCATCCAACCCTGTCCTGGGCAATCCTTTCTAGCTCCGTCCAGTTGTAATTCATCGTTTTCATATCTGCTTCTATTATCCGACGCAATGTGTTCTTTGGCCTTCCGCTTTTCCGCTTCCTTTCAGGATTCCAAGTTAGGGCTTGTCTCGTGATGGACTTTGACGATTTGCGTAATGTATGTCCTATCCATTTCCATCGTCTTTTCCTAATTTCCTCTTCAGCTGGAAGTTGGTTTGTTCTCTCCACAGAAGGCTATTGCTGATGGTATCCGGCAAATGGATATTGAGTATCTTGCGAAGACAGCTATTTATAAATACTTGTACCTTCTTGATGATGGTTGTTGTAGTTCTCCAAGTTTCAGCTCCATACAGTAGAACTGCCTTGACGTTGGTATTGAAGATTCTCACTTTGATATTGGTTGAAAGTTGTTTTGAATTCCATATGTTCTTTAATTGTAGGAATGCTGTCCTTGCTTTGCCAATCCTTGCCTTTACGTCTGCATCTGATTCTCCTTGTTCATCGATGATGGTTCCTAGGTATGTGAAGGACTCTACATTTTCCAGAGTTTCGCCATCAAGAGTGATTGGATTGTTGTTTTGCGCTTTGAATTTCAGGACCTTGGTTTTCCCCTTGTGTATGCTGAGGCCTACTGATACAGAGACTGCTGCTACCCTGGCTGTCTTCATCTGCATCTGTTCGTGTGTACGTGATAGGAGTGCTAGGTCATCTGCGAAGCCCAAATCGTCTAATTGATTTTGAGCTGTCCATTGAATTCCGTGTTTTCCTCCAGATGTCGAGGTCTTCATAATCCAGTCGACCACCAGAAGAAAGAGGAAGGGAGAGAGTAAACAGCCTTGTCTGACTCCGGTCCTTACTTGGAATGCATCTGTCAGCTGTCCTCCATGCACGACTTTGCATTGTAGTCCGTCGTATGAGTTCCGGATAATGTTGACAATCTTCTCAGGAACTCCGTAGTGTCGAAGAAGTTTCCATAATGTCCTCCTATCTACACTGTCAATCAATATTTAATTTCTGATTGTTTTCATCAACAAATTAGTTGATATGACTGTTTGTCTTCGCGCATATTAGTTAGCTTATTTGAATGAATTATTTTTAAAACACTCGGCGATTCCGCTTATGTCAGCTTCTCACGACCAACTATGATTGACTACATTTTCTAATTTATGCATTAATTATATTTTTATGGAGGACATTTTTTTAGAATTATTTATACTAAATCTTTTTACTCACAGTTACATCGTTTTTTAATACCTCTTTTTATGATTTCAGAATTATCTTTCATCTGTTTAGAATACTATGCTATTCAATGAAACGTTTAAAAAAATGTATTCAAAGATATATTATGTTTAAGCCTATTCTTCCGCGTTTGTAGGAGAGAAAACACCTAAGTTGATTTTAGAGAGGGGAGGTTAGGTAGTTTTAAAGAAACCCTAGACATGATAAATTTCTTTATTTACTCATCAAAATGTTTTCACATATTCCAATGTTGTATGACGTCAGTTATGATCTTATTTGAGTAGGATAATTAATCACGAGAAGTTAAATGATTTTTCCCAAGTTGTAGTCACCACCTACTGTTTGTTGATATGTATTGTCTAGTAGAGTAGTAGATCGGAAGCAGGCTAATGATAGACAATCTCAAGAAGTCACACCAATCCATGATTTCACTAAGCGTTGATATGAGTTTTGTTAGCAGGTGCAAAGCTCATGAATGTGATCCAAGAGATAATTAATAGTCTATGATTGAAATCATTTGGCAATATAGCTCGAAATTGGTGACAGTGGATCAGATGGAATTCATTCTCCATGTACTTTTAAGTTCTAATTTTTAGCGTTATTTCAGTTAAGTAGTTTAACTCATTTCTTCCTGAATTATTATATTTCATATGTTTATTGTTCTGCAGTGAATGAACACTCATGTAGAGGCAACTAACTTATTATTTAATACAAAATTACAGTCCTTTCATAAAATGTGAAAGCCACACATTAAATATTTCATTCGCAAATCCTCCATCATCTGTATTAAACTACATCGTTCCTTCATTTCTATTACAATTACTCTATGTTTACATTGCCATTCTCTTCGGTTTGATCTTCTCAACCTTCTGCTGCCAGGCATTCCACTCCTGATTGGTGGTACATACTACTTATGTCGGCAGACATAGGCAGCATATACCACAACTCTACTATATTGGTACTATTATTTCGTCTGATCACCTTTCACGGTTTTTTTTAACTTCCTGCCCCGTTGAATTTATGTAAATTGCGAAAACTTGAACGGTTGTTTTTATTATATATATACGGGGTTCCATGTTGTTCATAACTAATTAACTGATCAATTATCTCTAAGTCTTCAACAAATTTTAGTCATGTGTTGTTCTAGAATATCACAGTTAACTCTGTTTCCATCCTGTATTTATGACCTTGTGACTTGATTACAGGCTTTACTGTAAATTAACGATTTTATAAACGTCCATTTGTTTCTTAATTGTTTTCTTTTAGATTCATCTTCTATTGAAAAATCCCCAGTTAAAATTGAAGATTCATCATCTAATTCATCAGTCGTTTTTGAACAAAATGATAAAACGATCGATGCTGACTTATCAAATCTATCTGGCCGTGTTTTTTTAAGATCTTTATTTCGTTCTTTGGAAATTGGTTCGGGTTCAGATCAAGATGCTATATTCTCTATTCTCCTTTTATTCGCTATAAAATCAAATAAAGGTGAGCTGTTACGTCTTTTTTTTCTATCCCAGATGGTTTTTTTCATATTTCCAAATCTTAGCCTACAAAGCAATTGGTAGATCCTATCAGAATAAACTTCGAAATTGAATCTTCTTATAACTGTAACTTCATCAGTATAAAATTTATGGGTAAATCTGTAAGAAGCATATTCAATTATATTCAGTATTCACCCTCTGAGGTGTCAGGTTAAACTATCGCTTAGTTTGATACAGTATTGTAAGTAAGGTTGAAGTGAAATGTAAAAAATCTCTGATGTGATCATTGTCAAGCTAAATAATCGATTCATTGACCATTTAAATCAGCAGTTAGTAATCTATTACAATAGCATAGAAATATTTGTTCTTGGCTTCTCTATGTTGGTATTATTTTATTACTCACTACCTCTTCATGCTTATGGATTTCATGTTTTTTTATTCTTGTTCATTTTAATATATTTTTTATGATCCACTGTTGTAGCTTGTGACAAAATTAAACAAAGATACATTTCTATATAGGATTATTTCTTTCTTCTTTCCTCTTTATATTTTTAAATAAGAAGTAAAATGATCCCAATTTTATTCAACCATGAAAATTGGAATCCATACATTTGGTTATTGATGGGATTGTTGATCAACTGGTTAGGTTTTGAGTTGGTAATCGTTTGATGACAGACATTATCAGATCAAAGTTGGTTAATTTAATGTACAAATAAAAAGTACATAGAATTAGCCCATGAAGACACCGACTTTTGGACTGAGCCCTGTAGATAGTTTCAGACTACCTGATTGAGGTCAGTGAAGTTATAGTGGTGACCAGTAGTTAGAGACTTTGACTGACAACTCAGGATCATCCACAATGGTTCAAGTGTATTCATTCTTTATCTTCCCTTAGATTCTAAGTTTCTCGATTGTCTTACAATAGTTTTCATTTGATGAATTCATATCTTTTTCTTGAACATATGTTCATCACCACCTTATGTAACTTACTTTCATTATATGCTTTGCTATTTATTCGGTTGTTAGTAATATTTTATTATTGTGTTCATTAAGATTTGATTTTGTCTTACTGAGTCGTAAGTTCGAGCCCTTCTCTACTTGTTTTAATTAAGGTAGCTAGAGTGGATCATCAGTCGTTGCACAGAATGTTTTGTACATGAACCTGATTTTTTAAAATTAATTTACATCAATGGGTTTGTATTTTTGCTTCATGTTCATTACAGCATTTTACCTAAATTCTACTTTGTATGCATATATTAAATCGGAAATGTGACTGTATATTTCATTCAGTTAAAAAAAATGATTATATTGTTGAGTTAGTATACAGTGAATGTATTGTGTTTCTGTTTGCATTTGAATACGTCTTTGTATTGCATATGCTTAGCTTAAGTTACATAACAATGTTTAAACATTATTTTAAATTATCATAGAAAAAACACGTTTTCTTCGAAAGTTTTATTTCCTTTAAAAGTGTTTATTAAATTATTTCTGAGATACTTTAACTTGACAATTGAAGAATACTCTTTTGTTTTCGTGTCTGTTCAATGGGTTTTTTGTTCCTTATTGTTAATTGGCATACTAAGTCTCATTAAATCTATCCAAGTCATTTTATAAGCAGCTTTTTACATAACTTATATTTAAGTCATAGATACAATTTTACTTCCTTTATAATTAAAATAAAATGATTTATTGTATATTTTTGGTAAAAATAAGAGAATGAATGCGTTTACATTGGGTGGCAACTGGTCGTTTTTGTCACAGTTACTGAATATTCTTGCTACTATTTTCGTAACCTACTTTTTAAATATAGTATTGTATTAGTAGATCTTTCAGCAACGTAGTCATTGATGTGTTAGCTATCATATTAAAGTCAGTGACTTAGTTACTTCCCCTTCCTATGACATATGGGATTGATTGTTGAGTGGTTGTTTATTAAAGAAATATTGTTTATGTAATCTTACCACGAAGTTCAATGATAGCAAAGTTAGTGGGAAATGGTAATCATAATGTAGTCAGAGCAAACATCTCATCGGGATAGTTGGTTTTTCGGTTTAATTTAGAAATATTGCAATGCATACACGTGTTTCTACGTGAAAAGCTGCATGTTTGGGGATCTATAAGAGCAAAGTTCTTTTAGTGTTAGGTCGCTTTGGTTACTTTATTTTTAAGCGTGACGATATTTTTAGCCATGTCGATCATATTTTGTAAAGGTTAGCTAGCAAGATTAAATTAAAACATGGCGTCGGTCCAGACGTTCACTGACTATTAATAGGAGTTATGTTGGTAGGTGCACACGACTGTCATGTTGGAGTCCGTGCGATTGTCGTAGCCATTCGTATGAAACATCAGATGATATGATTCGGAATCTCTAGATTTATTTTTCGTGTTCCATTAGATCTTGACTGACTGAATCTCTAAATTATTTTTTACATTTTATCCCGCAAAATATGTTTCGAATCATATTCGTCATACATATTTTTTTCTACTGCTACTACTACTACTAGTATTAATACTGTTTTCATCCTAGTAATTTCATTTTGTTGAGCTGCGTGCTCTAACAACTTGGATCGCTATACATACATACAAAGTTATCTTTTTTATTGCATATGTATGGAACTACATTAAAGTTTATGTGTATGTGTACTTGTTTCTCTTTTGCTCACTTTTTCATTCTGCAATGTATTTCTTCGTATTTAAAAACTCTCCTAGGTGTTGATTTGGCTACTTTGAAACTTGCCCAATTAAACGGTCCCGATATAGTAAGAGTTTATAAAAGTATACGTTACTAATTTTGATTATTTTATAAATCTCTTTCACATGGAATTTGATATTACCTAAGATATATTGGAATTTTCTTTATACCCCGTAAAATATCTAAAATAAACAATGTTAGCAACGAGTATAATAACATTAAAATCGATTCATTCAACTTGTGACTTCAAAAGTTACAACTTTTTCCACATATATATGAAATATGTAGATTTTTATAACTGGAGAATTAAGGAATCCTATATAAACAATTTGTTCCTGTTGTTTTATTGGTGATTAGAGTTCGTCGATCACAAAGTCTGACCTCAATGTTGTATGGCCATCGATGCCTCTAGTATATTGTATTTAGTGAACGTCACATATCACCATTATTATCCTTAGTTTAAAGCTGGGAACAAATATAAACATTTCTCAAAACTCCTACATTTCCTCAAACAGAAATGTAATCATCCATGTAATCTTCCCATATCATCATGGACTATTGAAAAGCAAGGATTGAAGTGAATTTCCGCTATTTATGGGTTTAGAATACACTGAATCAGTTGTGTCTCTTGTAAATCAACAGTTATTCAGTTGGGTGTTATTTAGAACACGTGTTTTTTTAGGACAGCAACTTAGTTCATTAGTAACTTCGACCATTTGGCATAGATGTGAATCGGTCCAAGTTGTTACACCTTATAACAGTGTGTCTAGGCATGAAGTTAACAAAAAAAGGATACATGTAATCGGCAATAATATGGAGAGCCAAATATGTAGTTTGAAAAGAATTCAAAATCGGGGAATGGAAAGTATAAAATAATGCTAAGACTTGATATATAAAGGGAGGTGCATAATGAATAGTTTTGCTCTGATCCAACTGGTTTCAAACTATGTAATTCAAGATCTTCAACAAACCATTACCTTTATCTATTGTACTCTAAACAAGAAGTCTACCGCCTGACACAGCTCAGTTCAACAACCAATAGCTTCATCTAGTCACCTTTAACGTTTTTTTCAACTTCTTACGCTAACCAGTGTAGCACATTCGAGTGGATAATGGCTGGATCTGCGCATCTCAGTCGATAATTGTTCATAACCTCATCAACTGATTTTCCATCTCTATCTGATAAGCCCAGAACTAACTATTCAATTGTTTCACCAAACGTGAAATTATTCTTCATCTTATTCATTACTGAATGAATTTACACTGCAAACATACATTGATTGATAAGAAATATCGGCTATAATTCATTTATTTTATTTAGAAATCACTTCTTATTTTAGTGTATTTTTGGTTGTCTATATTTTCTACCCTCTTGTCTTTCTGTCCTGTATATTAGAAAAATGAACCATCGTATAATTATACACTTGTCACAAAGCTTATTGAATTAATTGGTGACGCATGTAAAGCTGGTGAGTAAATAGTTACTGTTTTGATATTTCATTGAATTTTGTGTAAAAATGTGTGTTTATTTGCATTGTAATCATGGTAGTATATTTTCTTCGTGTTCACTGATGATCATGTGTGAAATGATTATTCATTTTAGTAATGAGTAAACTGCATCATTTATGCATTGTATAAATTTTAAGCATAGTTACAGTTGATTGTTTAAATAGAATGGCAACATTTGAACTAGTAAATGACAACAATGTCTGCTGAAATTCTTAGAAATAACAATGATAGGCAGAGAGAAATGTCAGGACCTTCACGCAAGTGTTTTAGTTCAGGTTGTCACATTTAACGACATAATAATAATTATAAGGATAAGGGAATATATAATTCATCTGAACCTGTCAGACTATCTACTGTCTGACTAAGCAGACAACCAATCATTATCATTCTCGCCCACACATCAAATACCATTAATTCAATGATATTCCATGCACTATTGGTCCATAAGGCTTTAAATCATACTGTAGAGACTTTAATGTGCTAGTGACTGTTAAATTAAATAAATTAGCCAAGCCAGGAGACGATGTTTAGGCAACCAACTTATACTATTGGGGTTATTTTTTTCAGTTTTATCAACAAAAGTCTCACCATACGCTCCCCAGTTATATAAATCCATTAGAATGGATTGGGATGTAGTGTTTAAATGCGTACTTTTCTCGTATTATTTTTTATGTACTTAAATGGATGCACGATGTTCAAATGTTCAAGCCAATAGTAACATGTATTTGTGTTATAATACTAACTGGTTCTCTCTCGAAAATGCTTTATAACACTGTAACAACAAATAATGCCTTAAAATATACATTTCGGTTGATCATATTTATCACTTGCGGCCTATGCTCCACTATTTATTTATTTATTTCAACACATAGATATTTGTAAAAGGAGGTACCGAATACATATGCGCCACACAAATCTCATTCGATATGTGTGAGTGCTGTGATACTGCCCGGGTGCTCAAACCGAAACAGGTGGTTTCCTTAGGGGGCCACACCCGGAGCCTTCGACCTGAAGGTCTGATCCACAAGGCAGTGGAGCATCGTAAGGAGATACAGTCCCATGGAAGCCGGTGACCAACAATTGGTTCATACGCCATTTGTTCCCGCAGGATACTGGAGCCCATGTGCACCATTGATTTGGAATCCGGTTAAAGCGCCGGACATTTGCTTTTCGTCCTCTCATTTTCGTAAGCAACACCCCCGCCACGAGAAGGCAGTGAGCAGGACTTCCCTTGCAGAGGCTATATACGCGTGACCATGTGAGAGCATTTCGAGAGGGGGAGCGGACTCTCCTCACTCTCGGCCGTACCAGGGCATTTGGGGGCTATGCTCCACTAGGTGTAACAGGAATAAGTATTTGGCACTTCATAAGAAACTTGTTAATTTTAATGAATGAAGCTAATTGAAGGTATACAGTCAAACATCGATGTCATCCTACTGTTCACTTGTGTAAGTCGTACATGCTTCCATCTCACCTAACCAGATAAGTGATATCCCCAGGCCAGTATTATTTCTGGTTTTTTTTAAAAATAAACGATCAATTGTGTTTATATAGAACAGCATGTTAAAATCTTGATATTAATACGGTTAGATTTTCTTTAAGTTAACCTTTCCTATGCATTCTATTCTTCTGTATTTTATTTTTCAAATTACAGAAAGTCGTATTCGTTTAATCACTGTACGAATGGCTATTCGTTTGCTAACAGACTTAGTATATAGCGTCAATTGTGGTTGTCAATTATCCGATCAACATTTCGCTGAAATTATTAATGCTCGCGAAGAAGCGATGCTTGTATTAAGGAGTTATTTTGAGGTATTCTTGCTATATGTATATAAATTAATATTTCGTAGTATATGTTTGCTATGAATATTTTTTTAATACTAAAAATGAAGTTGAAATAAAATTTGATAGGACGTATTCATATTCACTATAGTGAAATAGTGACCTAGTAGTTGAAGTACTTGACTTTCAACTACCTGTTTGCATGTTTTAATTTCGCTTCATCTCTACTTCAGTTTGTAAGGTCATAGATAGTATCACCGAGCCATCATTGCACATAAAATCCATACCTTGAAACTGACTACGTAAAGCTGGTACATTGATAACCCTAAGATCGGATTCATTTTTTTTCGGCTTCATATTGCATAGTGAGCTATATTGTTTCTTGTGAGAGTGTTCAGTTTTCAGTTCAGTTCAGGTGTATTCAGTCAGTTAAATACAAGAAACATGCATTTTATATTTCAATGCTAATTATCACTGAATGTATTTTACAGTATGAACAACGTAGATCAGACGTTTTTTCTGGAAATCAATCGTACTATCGTTCCAAGCAGTAGCTAACGTTGTTTTGTAAATCTCCACATTTGTTTCTATAGTACGATGGCCAAATTTACCACTGAATTTGTATTCAACATTAAAACCAAATGACTAACGTATCAGCTTAAACATTTGATTACTTTCAATTCATTGTTGATTATCTAATCGTGTACATTTATCATTTACCAAGTTCAAATGGTAATATTGATAACTTATACATTTACTCGTATGTGGTCATTTTGTTCATTAGAAAGACAAGAGTATTTGAACGAAGTCATTATTGGTCTTAGTGGGTTGACCCCAAAAATATTCGTTTCTCAATATATGTTTTCTAAATCTGTACCTTGCTTCATAGAGTTCTGTTGTATTTCGAAAGATGGCATATGATTGATTTTTTAAAATGGTAGTTTTGAGGTTAGCGTATTGTTCATTGTTTTACGTAGTTTGTATAATTCATAGAAATCTGGGAGGCTTCATCAGTCATACTGTCCAGTTCTATCTGTATTGTAGCTTCATTAATCGGTGTGTTTGATTGTTAGATATTTCGAATATTGGTTATTCAAAGGTTTGAGAAAATGAAATGATGTTTACGAATATTTTGGATAAAATTCTACTGTTCATCACATACCCTGTTATGTTCAGCGTATCGTTTAAAGTTTTCTTGATAATCGGACCATGAAATGTCTAATAAACTAGAATCTACTACTGTTGGCAAATTCGCAAGAGTATGTTATTTCGAGTCTGAAAGATTATTTCATTTATCAACAGAATAAGATATACTGATTATGATCGTTTCAAGAATGAATTAACTAAATACAAAAATGGTATGTACTCTAGACCAGGAGTTCTGTGGTGCCGGTCTCGAGACAGTGGCATTAAAAGGACTGTGTGGTGAAACCAGTGGACAAAACGTCTACAAACTAGTATATTTGGTCACAAGCTTCAAGAGTAATATCTGTTGCCCCAACCTGACCGTGTTTTTTCTGATAAGGCTAGTGTCGTTTTTGAGAGGTGGAAGTATTCAGTATTGTTTCGTGATTTCGATCTAGGAATTTACAAGAGGTTGTCGCTCCAAATATATCGTCAGTTACCACAGAAACGGATAGCTAATTTAACTGTATAAGTTATTAAAAATAAACATGAATTTTTGCCAGTTAAACCTGGATTGATATTTTGAACTGATATCTGAGGACATCATTTTAATATTTATCAGTAGACGAATATTGTACCACTAATGCAGAGACGCCGACCATTGTTTATTAGATGCCAAAAATCTTTGTAGACACGTGGTAGTATTTGGTTTCTATTCAATTTCTTTAATTATCTAGATATCCAGATGTTGCAACCTAGAAAACGTTATGTAGTTCACTGATTTAAAGTAAAATTTACGTAAAACTTACATGATATACAGACTAAATCATACCTTAATATTAACGTGGTATTCTCAAAAATCTAAATGATTGTTCTGTTGTAGCAAACTACATACTATATAAACAGCTAACATTCCCACTGGATAGTTTGATTTCATAGAAAATCTCCTGGTTGTAATTTTGATACGATATTCCTAATGAGTATATTTTATTTGTATTAAACATGGAATGAGAAAGCAGATAACTCACTTTGATATCCTCCCTTATGATCAATTATTAATCACGTTAGGTATTTAACATTTTCATACTAACTTTTTTCTTCCATACAAATGTGTGAATTTTCAACGGAAAAAATTAACGTTTTTCTCTCACTTACATTAATACGCTCAGGTTCCATGTAGAGGTGTTAGAGATTAGTCATTGTTATGAAGTCGTAGACTAGAATAAAACAGTTTTTCAGTACCACACTGAATCTCAACCATCTCACTAATGTCATTTCGTGATTAAACACCTAAATCATGTTTTAAAGAGGTATCACTTTGTCTGTTGACGTTTGTCAAGTTCGATTTTCTGAATCTATCATTTCATATATATATATATATATATATATATATATATATATATATACATATACATGTATTCCATAACTAAACATTCAAAATTGATTCATATCTCAGGTTGACTGGGTTTGAAAATATCAATCTTTCTGATAGACAGACCTAACAATTCATAATCTGTTTTGGTTATATGAAAATGTTAGACCAAGCAAGGTAATTTGTAATGATAATAATAAATTTATTCAATACTATGTATTTAGTACGATTTAGAATTCTCAGCATTAGTCAATGGTCACAATGGAATAGATTGCATAACTATATATTATAGGTAAAAGTTACGAATTGGTGATAATAAGACCGATAAGAATAATAAAATAACAAAGGTTCTATTCATTAGTTCAACACATGAAATCAAACTTGGGTAAATAAACTTCAAAATAATAATCACAAAACACTACTAAAATTACTTAATAAGAATTGTATGAGTAATTGGATAGTAAAGTATATAAGTGAAAGGAGGTGAAAAATGACAAACACATACAGGATGTGAAAAAAATTCGTTTATGAGGTCATCATACTCAGCTAAAGATGGGACAGGTGTATCACTAATTTCTTCTGAACACATAAACTAGGGTTATAGGTTCAGATCCCTATTGCTTCTGGTATATATGGAAGACGGGATCAAATCTCATTGGTAAACGACGATGGTATACGATAGATCACATGAAATGGTTTAGTTTTATCTACCTTATGACCACTGTCAACCAGTTGTGGCATGGTAGAGTTGCGTATTATCTTCATCTGGTCCTTTCAAAGTCAAGATGGAAGATGTTCACTCGTTCGTTCGTTAAGTTGCCTAGTAGTCTGTCCAATATAGCCATCTCTTCGGGAGCAGCTGAATTTATAGATGGACATCGGAGAGGAGAATTTATACTTTGTTTGAGTAGATATCACTGGTTTAATTGGTTGCGTAAAATGTTCATCTATCATCACTAATGCTTTATGCAGTATATCGCAAGGCATAATCCAGTTAAATTTTAACTTGAGGAAAGGGGGTTTCTTACTCTCGGTTCATATCTCCAACTTGTTTCTCTTTCTATATATGCACTTCTTAAAAAATTTCTGATACTCTATGTCCGGCAGCTTATTAATATTTCCCAACTCTTATGGTATCATCTAAGATCTTTTTTGCTCAGCTTGTGAGACATCTAACTAGATTTCTTTTGTATAGGATGTGTGTGTATTGACACGGGAAATGTTTTTCTTTACTAATATTCATTCCTTTCACGTCCGAAGTGAAGTCAAGAATGTCATTACCACTTCTTTTTACGACTGATTTGTTCAGAGGCTCTAGGATTCAAACTAACCAGTTAGCGATTTTCGATATAGAGAATTGTATGTATTTAAAAATGAAAAAAGACCCAACTTTTAAAATTTAAGTAGACCATTGAGTCGTGGTATGTTTAATCCAGTTGGTTAAGTGAATCATACATCTCAGATGAAATTAACCTCATTCGTTTTAAGTTTTCTGAGAGAACTAGCCATCTGTTAGCCTACTTTTCATTGATGTTTTTAATATCAATAAGTTCTTGAAGTTTAGTAAGATCATTAAGCATCAAATCCATTTTATCAATGTTTTCCGTTTTGTTCATTGAAACTGCAACTCTCTTATGTGACTTAGTTATGGCCAAGGTATAATCTTTGCTTAGCTGTGTTCAAGCGCCATCATGCTGCTTGTTTAGCATACGTGTTGTTGGAAACTATCGACTAACGTGGTATTAAGCCTGACAACCTCGTCTAGTGAGAAGCAAAAAGACTCGAATTGAACCAAATCTAACTCAACACTGTTTCGAGTCTAAAGAAAATTACCTTCTCGGTTTTTGATTCTCCAGAGTTCCTACTAATTTTTCCATTGTTTTCTCAGGTCTGTTTTTGGATACCATATCAACATAATCCATAAAAAGTGGTCTAATTTCCAATGATTTGTTTTTAACAGCAAACTTCCTCTCTAGGAGATTCCTTTCTAAGTCACCTATATTAATTTTTAAAAGGTTTGTTTAATTAAACACCTGTCTTCTAAGTGTTTTACATTAGAGTGGATTTTACGGCATAAATATTTCTAGTAATTTTTAGGTTATCTACTAGTCTGTATACAATCATTAGTAAATTCTCGGGTTGCTTTCGCTTCTGTGAAACCTGGATTGGAATTCGGGAACTCATTGAGTCCCTTGAACGTAGTAGAATTCCAATGTGATTTTTGAAATAAAGAAGATTCACATTGTGGATCAATTAGATCATCATCAGGCTTTACTGTATATTGAATCACCTGACACATTGTCAGCAAATGCAGCTATACCATCGGATTTGTTATAGTCATAATGTGGTACTGAGATTAAGGTGCTTTATCCACGTGAATTTTATGAGTGGGATGTGTAGCTGATAATGGAATTATTTACTAGAGTATATAAGTACTCTGAACGATCGATATCATTAAGCTGTGTAAATAAGTACTCATACGAAAACTGTTTAATTTGAAACATAAATAGCTTTCAGATAAGCTTACAAACAATCATTCAAATTCTCTGTGTGCAGCGTAGTATGTTTTCAACTTTTTGGCAAGCTCACTTGCGTAAATATCAATGTTCCGATTGGATGTCCAAGGTCAAACAATTGCTCAAGATCACTGCTTTTCCATAGTCTTCACCTCGTTTTTCCCATTCAGTTAATTTATCAATTAATATGATTTCATAATGAAAGAAATTCGCTACGAAATTTTTTTATTGTGAACGTCTATCATATAATTCTTATTATTAGTTAATTATGTTGGTATTATACATTGGGAAAAATAACTTTTTAACTTTTTTGTTTTCTGATATTTGGTTCCGTCTACCAAAAATAGATTAGTGCAATATTTCTAGACCTGTTTGAAAATGAATTACGCCGTATTCAATCAGCACTTCCTCTGCTATCTACATTAGCTACAGATGCTCGTCTGCTAATACAACCATATTCATCATTCTTGGAGCCATCAGATGAGATAACAAAACATAATACTAATGCTACTACTAGTAGTAATAAGATGCAAATGTTGACATGTAATGATATGGATTTAATCTATCGATTACCGAATAATGAACGTGAGCATATTCAACGTGCAATCGGGATATATCTTATTGTACATATTTGGTTAGAAAGAATGCTGACTTTAAAAATGAATGTTACCTCATGTCAAGATGTTATTGTCGATGCTGATAACATTTGTTTATCAGTTCAGAATTCGGAGATATTTCCAAATGATTTGTTTTCCAACCTTGTTGGTATACCTGGATTAGGAGGATTTTGTAGTATACCAGATCCTAAAACAACTACACCTTCATTAAAGACAGGAGATAGACTAGACCTATGTGAGTTCAGTTCTTAGATTAATCATTGTAGATTTTTTTTACATTTTCTAGCCTAGTCTTGTAATGTACAGAGTAAAAACAATGTAAGTGTATGTATGTACATGTATAGTTTAGTTCTAGTGAGTTGTGTGGCCTATGTAGTTAAAATGTTATTAGTAAAGTAGTAGTTATCCCCTGCTTCAGTCTGGGCACCCGGGCAGTATCACAGCCCACAAAAAATAAAATAAAATAACAATTACTACTGGAACTATTATTCTTGCTTCAATTAAAATTCAGACGAATCACATTCATTTATTAACATTCATCTTCATTTTTTTATATACTACGTCACTCATCTACTCCCTTCCATTCTCACTTTGTGTATTCTTATTTTTCAACTTATACAGCAACTCGCCTATGGTGGAAACCCTATCCTATCTAAACGATCTCGAGTCAACGACTGGTTGAAATTTAAACGCTACCACCGAATACGAATACTGAAACCACGTATACGATTCAAACTGGCTTCCTTCAACGTTCGCACACTAATGCAGATCGGACAACATATAGGGTTGGCTATGTCTTCAGAAAGTCTCCACCATCTCAAAGTCTCAATGTCGATATCTGTTGTCTATCCGAGATCTTTATTCAAGACTCTAGTGAAATACTATGGATTCGCTCTCCATCTGTCGTTTCAAAAAGCTTGTTTCACATGCTTTTATCCAGGGACTCAGTGGCGTCTTCATCTTGTTTAGCTAGCGTTGGTGTCACACTAAGAGCTAGTGCTGAGGCGGCACTAATCGATTGGATCCCCGTTAATAGTCGGTTACGTGCTGTTGGATTAGAGAGTTCCGTCAAAGTGGGGAGAAATCGGCGTGAGAAACGATGTCTTTTTGTCGTCTTCGTCTACGCTCCAATAAATTGCAGCCAGGATGCTATGAAGGATGAGTTCTACCACTAGTTAACAGTTCTTCCAAAGAAAGTGCGTTCGACAGATATCGTAGTACTAGCCTGGAACTTGAGTGGTCATGTCGGGCGTCTAGGTACAGAAGAAAATCGCTTAGATGGCCAATGGGGACTTGTTGGTTGCAGGTCAGATAACGGGGACCGTTTACTGCAGCTGTGCACAGACCACAACCTGTTCCTGGTTAGCACTAACTACCTTCACAGCCACTACCGATATGCTACCTGACGTGCTCCTTCCGCATCTCAAGCCTGGACTCAGACTGATCACATCGCTATCAGCTACCAATGGCGTAGTTGTGTACAAGACTGCTGCTGCTTTTGGAGTACCTATCTGAACTCTGATCATGCCCTTGTCTGCACTAATTTTATCTTTTCAGTGGTCAACAAATTTGTCGTCCTAAACGGATCGATGTCAGTAACTTGGTTGTAGCTTCTGCTGCAACTAAATATCAAACCAAGCTAGGTTCAGGGCTAGTTACCATCCCACCGAGAAGTGTAGATGAGCATTGGTTGCGATTGCATGACGCCATGAAAGTGATGAGTAACGTCGCTTGCGACCTCTCGAAACGTCCAGCCTATAAACACCGGGTTTCTTGAGGCTCCTTACAACTCATTGAAGCCCGTTGATCTGCTCTGAGTGACCGCGAGTTTGACTATAAATGTTGCGTTATGAAATTGGGCAAAGCTTGCGTAGGTACCGAGAAGCCTGGTGGTCGGAGCGTGCTAATGAGTTGGAAGTAGCAGCTGCATCTCATAACCGCCGGAATATCTTTCAACTCATCTGAGTCACTGGCAGCAAGTGGTCTGGTGTGAGTTAAACAATCTGTGAAGATGACGGGATACTAATCATTAACATCTATCGACGCCTTGGACGATTAAGAGAATTTTTTGAGGAGCAGTCCCCCCTATGATATCGATCAGACTGTCCTGGTCTCCATGGCCTATGACGACTGATCCACCTAACGAGGCTGAAGTCCGCAAGGAACTCCAACTCCTGGAGCGCTGTAAATCTTTTACGTCTGACTTGCTATATAAAGAGATTGCATGCTATTGGGATTACTCGTCATTTACACTCACATCGTCGATTCTTGCATATTGCCTATGATCTTACTGTTCTCCATTATTCTTTCCCGGGCTTTTGAGAAAAGACTTTGTTGTATTGCGGAGAGTGCTGAAGGCAGTTAGCAAGATGTGTGGTGAATCTTCTGAGGATAATTAATATGGTTATGGATAGACATCTAAAGTCATTCAAACTCCTGGCAGGTGTTAGTTTACCAGACACTAAACCACCCCCTTCACTCTTATCTTTCTCCTTGTATATATTCTGGTAGAACGAGACGTAAACATTGAAATCCATGCACACAAGCAAAAGTATAAAAGTTCTATAATACCCTACCTAGCAAATATATTCTAAGAGGAACAGTTGTTAGAGATAACCTAGTCAATAACCTGCATTCTTAACATGTCTGTAATTTGAAAAGTTGTACAGTTTTTCGGTGTCTTTTTTGCCTTTGTTTCTATTTTTCGCGTAAGAAACTTGTTGAAATACCCTGTGCTGAGAATTCTATATTGTGCCAAAATATAATATTGAATAAAGCCATTAATAATAATAATGAGTGAGTGATCTTTATCAAGAACATCTGTTTCCTGATTTTGAAGTCGAATTCTATAAGTGTAGGTAAGACATATGTTGATCATTTTGTTCTATTCTGAGTGGCCTATCTTCTGACCTTTCGATGGATGTTTGATCGAATTATTGCCTATTCAGTAAATAGATATTATGTAACGAATGCTTCAAACCTTAAGCTTAACATGAGCAAGATATTTTTGATTTTGTTTAGGTGAATAAAATGTACTATGGTAAGAGGTACTTTATAGTTGTTGGCGGGATTAATTTGCCTTAATTTTATCAACTGCCTAGGCTATACTGTAGATACTAAGGGTTTTAGATCTGATAATAGCAACCTGGCTCCGTTGATTCAAGCACCATCACCTAAGAATATCTCAGTACACATATTATAGTCTGTTACTTTTCAGTTTTGTTCCAGATTTATTCCTAACTTTACAAAATTCTTATCTTCCCTTTCCGACCTGGTGTCTGGTAAAGAATCTGTATGGGAACAACGAAAAACACTTTACAGTTTTTAACTGGTAAGGCTTTCCTGAAACCGTTTACACCGACTGAACAATCTATCCTTATTATAGATGCATCTCCATTGGGGTTAGGTGCGGTCCTAGAGCGGAATAGGAAACCTTTGAATTTTATTTTGAAATGATTAAGCAAGAGTGAACAATGATATTCTCAGATACAAAAGGAGGCTTTAGTTATGGTATGAGCAGTAAAAAGACTGCATCAATATTTGTTTGATGTGAAACTCCATATTGTAAATAATCATCAGGCGTTAAAGTTTATTTACCATCCAGCTAATTTACTTCACTGACTATCCGTTGCCACGGTCCAGAGATGGAATGTAGAGTTGAGTGCTCATTATTTCACTATTGAGCACTGAGTGGCCAAAAGCACACCCCATGCAGATTTCCTACCACGCTATTCACATTTCGAAAAACCACCGATCGGAAGTGTATTTTTTTGAATAGATAAATATCGGTACAAAGGGGCACCTGATCCATATGTGCCACACAAGTCACTTGATTTGTGTATGGGCTGTGATAATGCCCGGGTGCCCAGACCGAAGCAGGTGGTTTTCTTAGGGGGCTGCGCCCGGAGTCTTCGACCTAAAGGTCTGGCCCACAAGTCAGTGGAACAACGTCAGGAGATACGGTCGCATGGTAAGCGGTGACCAATAATTGGTTCATACGCCATTTGTTCCCTCAGAATACTGGGGACCATGTGCACCATTGGTTTGGAATCAGGGTTTTCTAACTCTCCTAGGTGGATCCTCTATATCCACTAACTCTGTTAAGGCACCGGACACTCGTTTTTGTCCCCTCAATTTCGTAAACAACATCCCTGCCACGAGAAGGCAGTGAGTAGGACTTCCCTGGCAGTATGCACGTGGCCATGTGAGCGCATTTTAAGAGAGAGAGAGCTGACTCTCCCCACCCTCGGCCGTAACAGGGCATTCGGGGGCCGGTGTCGCTGCCACGAAAGTGGTTGAATGTTGGTCCAACCATTACCTGTTGATATTGCAGAACTTGTGAACGATACTCGCAAGTATTTAGGAATTATCATAATTACAGTGAGAAGCGGTTGAAATGTTCGGTGCAACTGTAGGTTCCCTGAGTTCTACAAAAGGAGAGAAGACATATTACTACATACTAGTGGTTTTTCGTGTTTTAATGATAGAGTAACCACTCCCCTACATTTAGATCTGGAGTATTAGACGACCTTCATTCCGCCCATCTGGGAGCAGAGAAAATGAAATAACTTACTCGTCAGAATTGTTGGTGGTCTGAGATTAATGCTGACATAAGTCGAAAATCGAAGAACTGTCCTTCCTGTTTACATAAGCTATGGTACAATAAACCTATTTTGAATCATTGGCCTGAATATTATGGATCGTGGAAACGTATTCATGCGGATTATTGTGGCCCGTCCTTAAACTCCTACTATGCTTTAGTTATTATTGATTCATGTTTTAGATGGCCAGAAGTGGTACCCACACACAGTCCTAGGGAACGGTTGACTCAAAGAGTGATGAGGAATGTATTTAATTGTGAAGGAATACCCAATATATTAGTGAAGGATAACAGGACCGATTTCACAGAGTTTAACAACTGGCTTACTGATATTGGATGCCGTCGTCTATTTACAGCTCAACGACATCGTCAGTCTAACAGTTTAGCAGAAAATTTCGTTCGAACTTTAAAGAGTGCTATCACATCAGTAAATCCAAATAATATTGGAGAGCCATAAAAATGCATCGATGATTTCATGTTCAACATCGCAATGCAGAGCATTCAAGAACTCATGTCAGTCCGGCTAAACTCTTTAAATCTCGCATACTTCGAACTGATCTAGGGAACAAAATATAACCAGAAGTGCAATTTTACCAAGGAAATGAATACCAACCATCTACAGAGATTGTAAATCAGAGAGTAGAAAGTCGGACAGTGAAGATTCTTGGTTTAAATGACTATTCAGTTCACAGCAGACATATAGACCAAGTGAAGGTTTATCAAGTAGGTGATTCCAATTTTAATTCTGGCTAATCCTGATTCTGAAAATAAAAGTCAGAATGCTAGACAATCGAGATCTAACAGAATTGCGAACAAACCCATACTACATCATAGACACATAAGCAGACAATCATGTAGTGGACGCAGTGAATAACCAATACATTTACTGCACAGTTAAATTTTTGTTGTGTTTTAACCGACCATAATAATACAATACAATCTCATACTAGGTACTTCAAATTTGAGTTCTTGGTTATGTCTTGTCGAGGTTCTAGACTCAATCGGATTAGTGCTATTGCATTATATTCTTTCAAACCCACCAAGTTACATTAACTATGCAAGTCTGAAGATGGATATACAGGTTTGCTGGGTTATGATTCTACACGACGTAAAGAGGATAATTTACTGTATAAAACAACTGGAACTTATAAAAAACCGGTATTTAGATAAGTTCATTGAATAAATAAAAACTAGATTA